AGTATAGTTTTACCAACGCTCTTATATGGGGGTGAAGCATGGTGATGAATGTTGCAGCGAGGAGAAGGCTGGAGGCAGTGGAGATGTCATGTCTGAGAGCAATGTGTGGTGTGAATATAATGCAGAGAATTCGTAGTTTGGAAGTTAGGAGGAGGTGTGGGATTACCAAAACTGTTGTCCAGAGGGCTGAGAAGGGTTGTTGAGGTGGTTCGGACATGTAGAGAGAATGGAGCGAAACAGAACAACTTCAAGAGTGTATCAGTCTGTAGTGGAAGGAAGGCGGGGTAGGGGTCGGCCTAGGAAAGGTTGGAGGGAGGGGGTAAAGGAGGTTTTGTGTGCGAGGGGCTTGGACTTCCAGCAGGCATGCGTGAGCGTGTTTGATAGAGTGAATGGAGACAAATGGTTTTTAATACTTGACGTGCTGTTGGAGTGTGAGCAAAGTAACATTTATGAAGGGGTTCAGGGAAACCGGCAGGCCGGACTTGAGTCTTGGAGATGGGAAGTACAGTGCCTGCACTCTGAAGGAGGCGTGTTAATGTTGCAGTTTAAAAACTGTAGTGTAAAGCACCCTTCTGGCAAGACAGTGATGGAGTGAATGATGGTGAAAGTTTTTCTTTTTCGGGCCACCCTGCCTTGGTGGGAATCGGCCAGTGTGATAATAAAAAAAAATAAAAAAATGATATATATATATATATATACTATATGTATTATCCTCATTATATATATATATATATATACTGAAAGTTTTACACCTCACGATGAATAAATACCCGTGTGGGTATATATACATTTGCAACATAAGCCGGCTGTACAGAAGCGTTTACTGTAATGTCCCTTTGTAAGAATGTTAAGTGATAAGGCCGGGCTCCTTGTAAGCGATTCAATATGCTACGCTGCACCCTCTCAGAATTTGCTACCCAAGCCACTCGTGTCGCTCGTGTACACAATCCCACAAATCTTTTAAAGACCCTCCACCTGCGTAATGATCCTGTTACCCCAATCCCAATGATTAACCCACTCCCCAAGACCCAAGATTTATCAACATTTACGATCATCCCTGATGCCTTTCTAAACATCCCTACTTCCCCATGGAGTGTTTCTAGATTCCTATGTTCATTCACCAATAACATATTATCGTCTATATTCCTCAAAATCGCTGGAAAAACTCTCCCTCCTACTCTCATCACCCTAGCAAAATTTCTCTCCCTCACCAGCCTACAAAAAGGGTCCTGCACACATGCGAAAAGCATCTGACAAAAGACAATCCTGCCATAAACCTCTATACATGAGTACAACCCCTTCTAATATACCATTAACTTGAACTGAGTACAACCCCTTCTAATCTACCATTAACTTGGACTGAGTACAACCCCTTCTAATCTACCATTAACTTAGACTCAAGTCACCCCTTCAAAATACAGCGTAGCCACTCACTTCACAGTTTCCTCCCCAAACCCCTGCCTAAAGAGGATACTATTCATAGTTCCCCTATCCACAGAATTATATGCACTTTTCCGGTAAAGGGCGAATAAAGCGCCCTTCTTCCCTGCATTACAAGCACAAAATCATCAATAATGGCATAACCAGCTAACACGGATCTTCTGGGAATACCATATTGGCTCGGTGTAACATGCCTCACGACATTTATTCTATTCCCCAACAACTTAACAAAGAGTTTATAATCAGCACATGAGAGTGACATACAACGATAATCGCGAAACACTATCTGCAATTTACCCCGTATTTCATGACGCCTATAAGGCATACCAAAACACTCAGTAACACCCAATGCTGATGTAAAATTCAACTGGTATCCCATCAAACCCCGGGGGATTTACCTCAGCGATTGCTGACATTGCTCTACAAACTTTCCAGTCCTTGATAGCTCCCCCTAACGCTATTCTATCCCTATACACGAGATTAAAACGAATCCCCTTGCAAACTTGGGGCACAGTCCCTCTTCCCACAACCACCCTCTTCTCCCAATACTTCTCTTACCACCTGTCCACGAACACCCCCCATTACTTGAGTCGTTTCCAGGGCCTGCCCCTACCGGCAGTAACAACCTGGATGATCAGACCCTGATTCACTATGAGGCCTGGTCTCAGACCGAGCCGCTAGGGGGGTTAACCTCCCGAAACCCTCTCTAGGTAAACTCCAGGTAAACCTATCTCTAGACATGAGTCGCCTGCCTCCGCTGCTGCCCTGCGCGTAACACGCGGATAAATAACAAAAAAACACAATACCGTGACTGGAACAATAACACAAATCACCCGCACATAGGAGAGAGGAACTTACGACGACGTTTCGGACCATTTACAAAGCCACACGCAGATGTTTGTCACCCCAAAACACCACAGCCAAAACACGTACTGCATCATACCTCTCATTATTAGTTAAAGGAACACATGTGCAATTAATGCGGCATTTTCTTGTGACGACTTTTAGTCAAGCTGTAACTAGGCTTGACTAAGCTCCTGGAGAGCGAAACGTTGCCACGATAAAATGTCACATTAATTGCACTTGTGTCCTTTTACCTAACACATTGTCGGTAATTCTACCAACATTATTACATACCTCTTATCATCAAAACCCCGGATCAAAAGCCTCAAACCTATTTTATCAATACAGTGCACCCCCCTGAAGCAAATCTATCTCATAATAATTTAATAGCCCATAACTCATAGTATTAAGCCTCTTCTGCCTTAACTACAAAAAACATAACGTATCGTAGGCTTTGCCACCTCGTCCTAACAACACACCTCCTTCAGTAGTTCAATTTCGATCGTGGTCGCCAGTTTGCTCAGTCCCGCGGCCGTTGTGGACACGGCCAAACACACTTGTTAAGGCAGAACAATTATTATTATTATTATTATTATTATTATTATTATTATTATTATTATTATTATTATGGTCTAGCGTCGTGAATAAAGTACTGTGTACTCTGATGCAGAGTTTGCAGGTTCTAATCCTGCTGTGGATATATAAAATATATATAATATATATATATTATTATATATATATATATATATATAATATATATATATTATATATATATATATATATATATATAATATATATATATATATATATATATATATATATATATATATATATAATATGTCGTGCCGAATATGTAAAACTGGTCAATTAGCAAGAACTCATTTAAAATTAAGTCCTTTCTAAAATTTACTCTTATACTTTTAAAGATATATTTTTTTCATTAATGTTGATGTAAAAATTTATAATTCTGCACCAAAAGGAACTTAGAAAACTTACCTAACCTTCTTAGGACAAGAACAATTTATTTTAGCCTAACCCAACTAAATATATTTTACATTTGTTTACAATAATTTAATACTAAACAAACACAGTGAAATATTTTTTTTCGTTAGGCTCAGAATGATTTTGGCGAAATTATTGCATACACAAATTTTCACTTGTCCTATATGGCAAGATGAGCGTTGCTATTTAAGCCAAGATGGCAAGTTCTGCCTATTCGGCACGACATATATATATATATATATATATATATATATATATATATATATATATATATATATATATATATATATATATATATATAATATATATATATATATATATATAATATATCCACATACATATGTATATATATCCACACACCAACACAACACACACACAAACAAACACAACATGATATTTGCAGATTCCTTGTTATAATCAAAGTTTGGGAAAGAGAAATTTTTTTACTAGGATACCAAAAGGAAGTGAAAAAAATAGCGGATTTTTTTTTTTGGGGGGGGGGAGGGGACGTTCTCTAGGCTGGAATACTGCTGTACATTAATATCTCCATTCAAAGCAGGTGAAATTGCAGATCTAGAGAGTGTACACACATCCTTTACTGCAAGTGCTTGGAAGCACTTGACTTGTACTCGTTGGAACGCAGGAGGGAGAGATATATCATAATCTACACTTGGAAAATCCTAGAAGGAATGGTCCCGAATCTGCACACAGAAATCACTCCCTACGAAAGTAAAAGACTGGGCAGGCGATGCAAAATGTCTCCAATAAAAAGTAGGGGCGCCATTGGTACACTAAGGAAAAACACCGTAAGTGTCCGGGGCCCAAGACTGTTCAACAGCCTCCCATCAAGCATAAGGGGAATTGCCAATAAGCCCCTGGCCGCCTTCAAGAGAGAGAGCTGGACAGATACCTAAAGTCATTGCCGGATCAGCCGGGCTGTGGCTCGTACGTTGGACTGCGTGCGGCCAGCAGTAACAGCCTGATTGATCAGGCCCGTGATCCATCGGGAGGCCTGGCCATGGACCGGGCCACGGGGGCGTTGATCCCCGGAATAACCTCCAGGTAATACATCGTGATCAATGTTCGGTCTGAAGGGAAGGCAACTCCTCTTCCTCGGATCAAGAGTCCTCCAAACACACACACCTTGAAAGGGACACAAAATAAGATTTCGATTCGAAAATAATGTAAAAATCACATATGGTAATGCGATTCAAATTTGTATGAATATTTTATTTAAGGTTTTATTATATTTTTAATTATGGGGGAAGTGTTAAACCCGTAGGGATTGTCTGGCTCCTGGGGGAACGAGAGGCAATCTGGTGTGATCCGAGGAAAGGGAGAATAACTCCAATTTCTCGGATCAAGAGCCCCCTTACCACCATCACGCCACCTCCTCCCTGGATGGAGTTAGGATCGAGCACTAAACTCGTAGGGGGTCATCCAGCCTTCTGGAAAACGGGAGGAAATCAAATCTGATCCGAGGAAAGGGAGAACAGCTCCAATTCCTCGGATTATGAGCCCCCTTTACCAGCGCCAAGGGACCTTTGCGCGCCAAACACCGTAAGAGTCAAGACGCGCTTGGAAGAGATGCCGCTACCAATGAAAATTCAATTTATATATCTGGCGCGAAGAATAACCCAATCAAAACCTCGCATCACTGCAACATGAAGAAATCTAACTTCTAACGGACCAACCAATCATCAGTCGTAACGTCACTGATTATTAGCCAATCAGAGCGCGCAACGTCACAACCTGGTGAGGGTGGACGTACGCGCGCGAAGGGAACCTCACTCCCGAGCTGAAGAAAATGGCGTGTGGGTGCGCGCTGCTCTGGTAAGCATAATTTTTCAAAATTTGTCGTAAACAACCGGTCATTTACTTCTTAATGATGTTTATATAGGATAACACACACACTGGGTGTGTATCCGAGTAATAATCCCGGTGAATATGTATGTAATTAGTGAAATGTGTGTGTTTCGCCGTGTAAACTTGAGCGGTGTGGAACGTTGTCAAAATTTTGGGGTAATTTTGCCACCCCCGTCTAGGGGAAAAGGTTTTTGATCCAAGGATTCAGATCTGTCATGATCCCCATGCATTGCATGACCCCCAATGTGTCCTTTAATTGGTGGTTATAATACTATGGTCCTGTAATTTACGGGTTATAATACTCTAATTTTTTTTATATCATTTTGGGTTATGTACTTTTGATTATAATAATTAGGTATTTTGCACTCATAATTGTAATTATGTACCTGTCTATATGTATAAATATACATAACCTGATCCGCGTCAGGGAACAATGTTGCGTAACCTGATGGTGGAGGATAATTTATAAGAATTCATGTTCAGCGCTAAACCCGTATGGGTCATTAAGCGCAAGACACGGTGGAGGCTCGATTCTCCGTCTGCTGAGCACCAGTGGAAGGGCGGCTTCAGTCGGTACACGGAAATACAATCAAATTTATACAAACGTGCCCCTCAAGGAAGGTTCCTTGATGTTGGTGAGGGGCTCTTGATTTAGGGAATTGGATCTGTGCTCCAGTCCCCGAATTAAGCCTGAATGTCTTCCACATCCCCCCCCCCCCAGGCGCTGTATAATCCTCCGGGTTTAGCGCTTCCCCTTGATTATAAATTCTCGATTTTCGGATTTTTTTTTTTATTTAAAACATTAAGGACAAGTGTTCAGAATTTTCTAGTGGAGTATCTCTAGCCATTGACATTAATAGTGGCGTTTATAGTTCTTGGAGGCTTCGGCTTCCTGATTTCAGGAGAAAGGGGAGGGTTGCCTGAAGTCAGTAAATGGCTTCTTGGTTCAGCTGTAGTTACCCTTCATCTTCCTCGGATCAACCCCTCAAGGAAGGTTCCTTGATGTTGGTGAGGGCTCTTGATTTAGGGAATTGGATCTGTGCTCCAGTTCCCCGAATTAAGCCTGAATGCCTTCCACATCCCCCCCCAGGCGCTGTATAATCCTCCGGGTTTAGCGCTTCCCCCTTGATTATAATAATAATCCTCGGATCAAACTGGATTGCCATTTCCCCAGACACTTTCTGACTTAAGAATTTAGCGTCTTTCCCCATTAATGGTATTAATGATATTGAAATCGTCCTTCAGAGTAAGGGATTACGTGGGTTCTGGTGATGAGCACTTGATCTGCGGTATTGGAGCTGTGATCCTCTTTGGAATGAACCTAATGCCTCACATTCCCCCAGGCGTTGTAAAATTTAACGGGTTTAGTGCTCCCTTCAAGAGAGCTGGACATAACTAAATTCAGTGCCGGATCAGCTGGGCTGTGGCTCGTACGTTGGACTGCGTGCGGCCAGCAGTAACAGCCTGGTTGATGAGGCCCTGATCCACCGGGAGGCCTGGTCATGGACCGGGTCGCGGGGGCGTTGATCCCCGAAATAACCTCCAGGTAACCTCCCTGTTAATGAAATACTCGCGTGCAAGGAATTCTTTCAGTGAATATAATGCGTTCACAGCGCACTGCACTTATGGTTATGTACAAAGGTTGCTGTATGACCCCTTGCGGGTTTAGCGAATAGTTATGATTATATGTAACAAAGGTGAATATGTATATAAGAGTACTTTGATTTTTTTTTAGACATTAAAATGTATTCTCGACTGATAAAGAGGTTATATGCAGAATTAAGATGGTTAATAACTAGGCTTTGTTTTAATAAAATTATGTAGGTTATGCCACATTGTCAGTATTTTTTTTTTTTTTTTTTTTTTTTTTTTTAGGTAAAAGTGTATCTTATCAAATTTAAAATTTAAGCAGACTTCCTGGGGAGTTTTGATTGTTGTTAGGACTTTAATCCAAGAAATTATTGCTGTTATTTTGTCTAATCATAAGGATTATGATTAGACATATGACCTACTTTCGCCTTCCTACGGGTTTGGCGTAGCCTACTAATTCCCCAAGCAATATATGACCCTCTTGCGAGTTTGGCGCTTCCCCAAGATACAGTCTGCTAAGTGGTGCTCCCACCTAGGCATTGTATGGCCCGTATGGGTCTAGGCTTTTATGTGATGAGGTAAATATTCTCGCTGCTTATTTTCTAGACTCCCAGCCTCGTCTTGAGGTATTTACGCGGCTGCCATTTTATTTTATTTTTTGTCAGTCTTCAAATTGTAATGCTATGTAGTTAATTGTAATCACATTCACTTACCTGAATTTTTCAATTTCAGGAAGATGACGTGAACTTCGTCAACATTGACAGATTTGGACAGGAAAGCTGATCTTGAAGAGCACGACCCAAGGAAGATGTCACTAACTTCACATCATTGACAGATTTGGACAGGAAAGCTTATTCTGAAGACCTCGACCCAAGGAAGATGTCACCAACTTCACATCATTGACAGATTTAGACAGGAAAGCTGATCTTGAAGAGCACGACCCAAGGAAGATGTCACTAACTTCACATCATTGTCAGATTTGGACAGGAAAGCTGAAGACCTCGACCCAAGGAAGATGTCTCCAACTTCACATCATCATTGGTATCACATCTGGCGAGTTAACATTTGAAAACAAGTTTAACATTTCTTAATTACTACTATGTAGTGAACCTTCAACCAGGTTTTATGCGGTGTATATTATACTAGTGTTTGTACCCTTAATGCAACTGTTCGGTTAAGATATATTTTAGAGCGGGGGGGGGGCTAGGATAGACCATTTTGACTCATTGTTAGTCATGTCCTGAGGGATACCTGTGTCAGCTGGATGCTTTTATTTTCAGCTTGATGCTTTTTTCAGCTTTATGCATTTACAGTCTAATGCCTGTTTTCAGGTTAATGCTTTTATTTTCATGTTAATGCTTTTGTTTTCAGGTTAATTTTATTTTCATGTTTATGCTTTTATTTTCAGATTAATGCTTTTATTTTCAGGTTAATGCTTTTATTTTCATGTTAATGCTTTTATTTTCATGTTAATGCTTTTATTTTCATGTTAATGCTTTTATTTTCATGTTAATGCTTTTATTTTCATGTTAATGCTTTTATTTTCAGGTTAATGCTTTTATTTTCAGGTTAATGCTTTTATTTTCAGGTTAATGCTTTTATTTTCATGTTTCTGCTTTTATTTTCAGGTTAATTCTTTTATTTTCAGGTTAATGCTTTTATTTCAGCTTAATGCTTTTTTTCAGTTAATGTTTTTATTTTCAGCTTAATGCTTTATTTTCAGCTAAATTCATTTATTTTCAGGTAATGCTTTTATTTTTCAGGTTAATGCTTTATTTTTCGAGTTAATGCTTTTGTTTTCAGGTTAATGTTTTTTTCAGGTTATTTTTTTCAGCTTAATGTTTTTGTTTTTCAGGTTATTTTTTTTCAGCTTAATGCTTTTGTTTTCAAGTTAATGCTTTTTTTCAGGATTTTTTTCAGCTTAATGCTTTTGTTTTCACATTAATGCATTTGTTTTTCAGCTAAATGCTTTTGTTTTTCACCATAATGCTGTAATTTCAGCTTTAAGTATTCCTCTGATTTCACATTATTCTCTAAATTACATAGGATACACCCTATATATAGAATTTTGTCATAACACTCCAGAGTGAAGGCTCGATCCGCTGTTTGTCAAAAGGTAATTGTGCTACCTAATTTTAATATATAGGAAATGCACTGATCTACAGTCAGCATTCTACAAATATCAGAAGTATATAATTAGTGGATTGTGAACGTAGAAATGTAAATTTTTGTAGACGTAATCAGTAGATTGTAAAACTAGTAATTAAGTTTATAGATGTAATCAGTAGATTGTGAAACTAGTAATGTAGTTAAGCTGTAAGGTTGAATTCAGGAAGGAAATTTGCAAGTTGTGGAATCATTAACTTACCTAATCTGTAAGTTGGAAAAAATCTGAACATGAACCTAGAAAACTGTGACACCAGGAAAGTAGGTAGTGTGAAAATATGAAATGCCTTTGTAAATTGTGAAACAAGGAAAATAAGTGTGTTCAAGTGTGGACCTTTGTCCGAAGCCTTCAAGTGTGGACGTTTGTCCCAAGTCTTCAAGTGTGGACCTTTGTCCGAAGCCTTCAAGTGTGGACATTTGTCCCAAGTCTTCAAGTGTGGACGTTTGTCCCAAGTCTTCAAGTGTGGACATTTGTCCCAAGTCTTCAAGTGTGGACATTTGTCCCAAGTCTTCAAGTGTGGACATTTGTCCCAAGTCTTCAAGTGTGGACATTTGTCCCAAGTCTTCAAGTGTGGACATTTGTCCCAAGTCTTCAAGTGTGGACATTTGTCCCAAGTCTTCAAATGTGGACATTTGTCCCAAGTCTTCAAGTGTGGACATTTGTCCCAAGTCTTCAAGTGTGGACCTTTGTCCACAGCCTACAAATTTGGACCTTTGTCCAGTCTACAAGTTTGGACCTTTGTCCAGTCTACAAGTTTGGACCTTTGTCCAGTCTACAAGTTTGGACCTTTGTCCACAGTCTACAAGTTTGGACCTTTGTCCAGTCTACAAGTTTGGACCTATGTCCACAGTCTACAAGTTTGGACTTCTGTCCAGTCTACAAGTTTGGACCTTTGTCCACAGTCTACAAGTTTGGACCTTTGTCCACAGTCTACAAGTTTGGACCTTTGTCCAGTACGAATGGACCTTTGTCCACAGTCTACAAGTTTGGACCTTTGTTCACAGTCTACAAGTTTGGACCTTTGTCCAGTCTACAAGTTTGGACCTTTGTCCACAGTATAAGTTTGGACTTTTGTCCAGTCTACAAGTTTGAATCTTTGTCCACAGTCTACAAGTTTGGACCTTTGTCCAGTCTACAAGTTTGGACCTTTGTCCAGTCTACAAGTTTGGACCTTTGTCCACAGTCTACGTTTGGACCTCTGTCCACTGTCTACAAGTTTGGATCTTTGTCCACAGTACAAGTGTGGACCTTTGTCCAAAGTCTTTTGATTATAATATATATATATAATGTCCAAAGTCTTCAAGTGTGGACTTTGTCCTAAGTCTCCGAGTACTGACCTTTGTCCGTTGCCTCCGTGCATTGACCCTTGCCCGTTGCCTCCGTGCATTGACACTTGTCCGTTGCCTCCGTGCATTGACCTTTGTCCGTTGCCTCCGTGCATTGACCCTTGTCCGTCGCCTCTTGAGTGTTGACCTTAATCCGCCGCCTCCGAGTGTTAACCTTTGCTCATTGCCTGCGAGTTCTGACCTTAGTTCGCAGCTTCCGAATGCTGGCCTTAGTCCGCCGCCTCCGAATGCTGGCCTTAGTCCGCCGCCTCCGAATGCTGGCCTTAGTCTGCGAATGTGGACCATAGTCCACTGCTTTCAAAAGAGCTCTGCCCATGAGCTCCAAGGGTGACCTCACAAGAGCGCCCTAATGAGCGTTCACCGCTCAGGTCATTCAGTCAAGACTGAAATTATTATGGACTTTGTCCATAAACCTTATATATGGTACTATCTGTGATATTATTGGATTTTTTCCAGTATCATCGCCTCGGGTGCCATATATACTTCATTTTATGTGGGACTGTCTGCAGTATTATTGGATTTTGTTCAATATTATTGTGTTGTGTCCCATATATCCAATTCTTCCCACCATTCATGCTTCATAGTTTTTCGTTGTATCGATGTTGCCTAAACATCATTATTGGTAATGTCCACATTATGATGTTGACGCAACGTTGTTAGAGCGTAAGTTATGTGGTGTTTGCTGGGGTTCCCAACCTTATCCTTCCCCCTCCCAACTCTCTCTCGCGCCGCTCCCTACGGGAGCTGGCCTGCCGCATATCACCTTCAGCCTCTTGTCCTGGCAGTTGGTGAGCGATTTCTGGTGGTAGCCTAGCCGCCACTGGTAATCAGCCAAAGTAACCTTCGGTGCATGGTTTAGGGTTCCATGTAACAAAGGTTCTCTATGGGAACCTTTGGACGAGTAACCCTGGTCCGGCTCGAAGATCGCAGACCTCATCGTGGTGAGCCGGTGTAACTTGGAGTTGCATTTATCTCTTAAAAGCAGTCAGCATATCTTTTAAAATGCTTATTATTGGTTACCTGATGAATGCTTCTTCAAGGCTAACATGCGATCACTCTGTTCTGGAAAATGCTAAAATTGTCAGTGAATATTAGTAATAATTACCAAAATCTAAATGTAAGTGAAGCAACTAGGAATTGTAAATTCTTATTCCTAACATATTGAAACTACCATTCCCTGGAGGGAAGATCGAGAAATATTAACTTCTCCAATTCTTTGAATAGAGCCCCCTCAAGGGAGGTTCCTTGAGGCGGGTGAGGGGCTCTTGATCTGGGGAATTTGATCTGTGCTCCAGTTCCCTGAGTTGAGCCTGAAGGCCTCCCATTCCCCACCACTTGCGCTGTATAATCCTACGGGTTTAGCGCTCCCTATGATAAAATTTGAATAGAGCCGTTCCCTGGTGGGTTTAGCGCTTCGTTTTGACATTTTGAATGGAGCCTGAGTTCCCCCCAGCGTTACGTGACTCCTACGGGTTTAGCGCCCCCTCCCAACCACTACCCCTCGGAAGGTTCCTTGATGTTGGTGAGGGGCTCTTGATTTAGGGAATTGGATCTGCTCCAGTTCCCCGAATTAAGCCTGAATGCCTTCCACATCCCCCCCAGGTGCTGTGTAATCCTGGTTTAGCGCTTCCCCCTTTATTATAATAATCCCAGCCACTACCATTGAATATAAACTATAAACAAGAACATTGAACTGTCAGTTGAGCTGATCCACCCCTCAAGGGAGGTTCCTTGACGCTGGCGAGGGGCTCTTCATCTAGAGAATTGGATTGCTCTAGTTCCCTGAATTGAGCCTGAATACCTTCCATCGCCCCTACATGCGCTGTATGGTCCTACGGGTTTAGCGCTCCCCCATACGCTGAGCTATCAAGTGCCTTCCCCTCAAGGAAGGTTCCTTGATGTTGGTGAGGCTCTTGATTTAGGGAATTGGATCTGTGCTCCAGTTCCCCGAATTAAGCCTGAATGCCTTCCACATCCCCCCCCCAGGCGCTGTATAATCCTCCGGGTTTAGCGCTTCCCTCTTGATTATAATATCAAGCGCCTTGCATCAAGACATTTCTTGAAATTGGGGGCCCCCCTCAGGGAAGGTTCCTTGATGTTGGTGAGGGGCTCTTGATTTAGGGAATTGGATCTGTGCTCCAGTTCCCCGAATTAAGCCTGAATGCCTTCCACATCCCTCCCAGGCGCTGTAAAATCCTCCGGGTTTATCGCTTCCCCCTTGATTATAATAATTAAAATTGGGGGGAGGGATTGGACCTTTTAGTCCTGATCCCCTCGAGAGAGGATCCTTGGCGCTAGTGAGGGGCTCTTGATCTAGGGGATTTGATCTGTACTCCACTTGAATACCCTTTAAGGGAGGTTCCTTGATGCTGGTGAGGGGCTCTTGACCTAGGGAATTGGATTTGTGCTCTGGTTCCCAGAATTGAACCTGAATGCCTTCCATCCCCCCCCCCTGCCACATGCACTGTATATAATCCTATGGGTTTAGTGCTCCCCATGATTATAATAATTATTATAATCCACTTGAATACCTTTCATCTCCCTCCCCGCACATGCACCGTATAATTCTACGGGTTTAGTGCTCCCCCGTAAGTCCTCTGATCAGATTGCATTTTCACAGCTGAGCAGTATGCAGTTCTTGTTGCAG